ATATTAAACCAATCCTGTTTTTCTTCTTTAATAATGCGATCGGCTTCATCAATAACCTGAGATTAAAGATAAGAGAAAAATGCACTTATGATTCAATTATTAGCTGCATCAAAAGCTTTTGACTAACCAGAAACCGAACATGTTCCAGGCAGAAGTTAGAAGTGTTGTAAATATGATCAACAAGACGGCCAGGTGTACACACAATTATGTCTGGTAAGAGAACATGGTCGCCTTGACTAGAAAAATAAATACTCATTAAAAAATAATTAATTACCTCTTGAATATATTCTCCTGTTCTGAAGTAAAGCTTTCTTCACCAGCAAGAAGAGCAATCTATAAGGATATCTATCTGAATAAATCTAATCTTACCCTCAATGAAGTATTTTCTGCAAGAAATCGGAAAGTTTCAGCCACTTGTTTTGCTAAATCTCGAACGGGCAGAATTACAACGCATCTGATGAGTTTCGTCTTGCACGTGCTCAAGAGCTAAGAAAATTATAAATGATCTCAATTACCTGAAGAATGGGAAGAGCATATGATAATGTTTTGCCACTACCCGTAGGTGCAGATATACAGATATCACGAGGCTGACCAACGTAATTTGGACCTTTACCCTCATAAAAGTCCAAAATGTAAGGTATAACAGAGTCTTGAACTAAACTGGTCATAGAGATTAAACAAACAAACTTGGAAAGAGTCGTTTTATTCCCATGCGTTTAAGGTTTTTGAGTAGCACACGGTCAAATCTATGAAGTTCTTTAATTTTAACCCCTTTTTCAAGCGTATCGGAACATTTAACGGGATTCGTTATCCAATATGGAAGAACTTGTTTAACCTATACTATGAAATAAATCAAGCGCACCAAACCTTCGGCGTTGAATATCTCAATTTGTCTCGCACTATGGTAAATCCACCAACAACATTGTCTCTCAGCAGATTTTGATTCTGTTGCAGCTTCAAACTCGTTCTGATCCATGCGTGACGAGAAACCGATTCTTATCTACAGCCAATAAGATCACGAGGGCATAGAGTTTGTTATTAGCGGTTTAGTTTTCATTAAATATAAGACATGTGAAAATTGCAATTATTTTCAGTTAAAACATGAGTAAAGAGATTTAGAATTAATTACTGTAAGATTATTGGCATTTTTTCAGTCAACACTTGTATTCAAATGAGACAAGATGGACAATACTTATAGAAAAAGTTAGTTGGATTTTTAACTCATTCACCAGTATATTTTTTAAGTTCGCTGAATTTCAATGCTATTTAAATGAAGTTTTGTGAACTTTGTGATACACTTTTCATTTTGTAGGGCAAAAAATTAACGCTTAGGACTTAAATTTTAAAATGGAAGTAAGTGCTCATAATTCTCTGTTACAAAATATAAGATGGTTAGTGATTTCTAAAAAAATAAGCGCAATTTTAGTTAAAAATTCTAATAAGTTTACATAAAAATTTGCATATCTATTCCTATAACTAGTTTAGTATAACTTGTCTCTGTATTAAAAATGACTCTCATATCTCATATGCTGTAAATACACACCCGGATTTTTTAAGCGAATCAATTTTATAAGCTCACAACTATTACTGAGTTGATGATAGTATTGAAAAATAACTGAAAGATCGTGAAATAAATATTTGAAATGGAAAATGGGACGATAGTGCTTGAACATACGATTGCTTATTGTATAGATCATAGATATGATTTCTTAAATTCAGGCACAGTGACACGCTTATTGTAATACCTATATATAATAATGCAATTTACCATTATATAAATTCACAGTTTTCGGCAAACTTACATTCAAACCAAACAACTAAAAGCAAATATACGAAAATTAAATAAGCAATTTCTGCAGAAGTTCAATTTTTACATAGCATGATGCTTATTTAAAAATGAATAAATTCTATTTGCTGCTCCAAATCAACAACATTCACTTAACCCAAACATTAACTAACATAAAAATGAATGATTTACATATATTTTGTTCAAAAATTATTTTTTAATGTGAATAAAATGTTTACACAAAATTACAGTAATATGAATACTGTTTGTTATATTTATGTCTTTCCAAACAATTAAGGCCTTAATCAGAAGAGAATTCAAGACCTCAAGTTGCAACGAACTTAAAACTCGAACAAAGGAGAAACAGTGGACAGTGGCACTCTCCGACATAGCCGACTGGCCAAGAATCGAAGCCGTTAGTGAGTTTAAACTAAGTACCGGACACGATTGCCTGGCAAAACACCTTCACTGATTGGGAGTATACACTCAACCCACATGTACACCTTCACAGATTGGGAGTATACACTCAACCCACATGGACCTTCACAGATGGGGAGTATACACTCAACCCACATGCCCTCTATGTAACCTAACGATTGCTTGGCAAAACACCTTCACAGATTGGGAGTATACGAGCCGTTGCTGAGTTTAGACTACGTACTGGACAACCGTTGATGAGTTTAGACTACGTACCGAACACGATTGCCTATAAACACCTTCACAGATTGGGAGTATACACTCAACTCACATGTACACCTTCACAGATTGGGAGTATACACTCAACCCACATGGACCTTCACAGATTGGGAGTATACACTCAACCCACATGCCCCCTTCACAGATTGGGAGTATACACTCAACCCATATGCCCTTTCACAGACTGGGAGTATACACTCAACCCACATGCCCTCTGGATTGGGAGTATACACTCAACCCACATGCCCCCTATGTAGCCTTGGGAGTATACACTCAACCCACATGCCCCCTATGTAACCTTCAAGAGGAAATGGAGAAGACCCACCTGATTCGGTGTCCCACAGGAGAAAATGAAGAAGACCCACCTGATTTGGTGTCCAGCACTAAAGACAACGACGGAAACCCAGAGATACTGGGAAGCAAAAATAAAGACAAGGACGGAAAGCCAGAGATACTGGGAAGCAAGGAGACAGCTAAGAAACTGCTATTCATTAACTGCTATAAATGTACCCCCCTTGGGGGAAGCTGAAGTCAAAGTTTATGGACTAATGGTAAATATCACAAAGGCTGCCATTTTAAATAATATTTACGTGCTAAAAATCTAACTTTTTGGTAATAAATATTCCTCACATTACTTACCAAAGCCTAAAGAACAGCAGTTTTTGCCTAAATGGAGTTCGGCTTTGTTGTGCAATTGAATTATTTTACGCTCAACAACGATTCACATAAATAGTGTTGGGAACGTATGATTATCTTCTAACATTATAAACTTACTTTATATATGGGCATTAATTGTTTATATTGAAGGTACATGAAACAAAATTTCATTTAAATTATTTGTTTTACCTAGCCAATTGAGTTTAATTAATTGACCTTTGAATTTTTAAAAGCGAATAGTTTTTGCTTTTCTAGTAATTGAGAAAAGTTTATTTATGCATGGTTTAATTATAGGTATTTATAGCTTAAAGATCAAAGTATTTTAAATATTTATGTTGATTTGGTTGCTTTATTATATTTCTTTAAAGGAGTATATTTAACTTTGACAATATATTTAATTAAATATTTACCTGATTTCATAGCCTAATTGCTTCCCATGATAGTGACTTAGAGCATAATTAAAGTTGTGGTTTTGCTACCTTTAAATTATTAATGAAGTAAATTCTGGCCTTTCTACAAGACAATTGTTTTCTACTTGACAGGATATTTAATCATGGTTCTGTCAAAAAGAAACATAAATTTCTTTTTTGATGCAAAACAAAAAGATGAATTAAAGAAGGCATTCGACCTGTTAGATGGAGAAGGCATTGGAAAAATAGATTCAGATGATATCTTCATTGTAATTCGCGCTCTTGCTATACATGTAACTCCTTTTGCAATTTCAAAATTGCTTAAACGTTACGATCCTCAACGTACAGGTGAGTGAATAATAAAGTATCACGCTGTCTTGTCATTTTTAGGAACCCTGGATTTTAGAGCATTTCTTTCCATAATGGAAATTCTAATTTTTAGCCAATTCACAGATGATGAAATAAGGAAATCGTTCGAGATATATTGTCAACAGGATTCTAAATCTCTTCAATTTGATGACTTGAAACGAGTAGCCATGCAGTTAAATGAAAATATTTGTGAAGAAGATCTACAAGTTTGAATTTCTTAGTCCTCTATATCACTTTTATAGGCTATTTTTCATTTTGCTGATATGAACAACGATGGGACGATCGATTTTTGCGAATTTTCATACGTTTTGAAAAAAAATCCTTTCTCTCAAACTTCTTTCCTTAAATAATGTAAATAGTGTAATCATAAACACTACTAACAAAATCAAGTAACATACTTATATCAAACATTCTTAAAATAATTTTAGTATTTCTCTTTATTATCTCTAAGCTAAATATTCTAGTTTTGGTAGGTTCTCGATTGGCGAGCTCAGCATTTATTGGAATTCGGGTCACAGCAAGCATAACTATTAATTAAATGTGTTAGCATAACTTGAATGAACACTAATGCTCGATTAGCTGAGAACTCTTCTGCACGCCCTACGACACACTTCAGAACGTTCTTAGTTTAATCGTGCTAGGCTTGCGTACTCCTCATGCCTTAGAAATGTTTTAAATACTGCTGTTTAGAAATAAAGCCACGTCAACAACAACATCAACCTTAGCGGGCTAGAACTGCGGTCAATCTTTGGTAAATAAATGAATAATATTTTCGTTTGTCTATATAATCTGAGACAATGCTAAGGATGACAGTCAAAT